ATCAACCTTCTCCAGCCTCTACTCTCCATGTGTGTGGGAACTACAATACCTAAATGCCATGGTGCTTAGAAATTTTAGGAGTTGTAATCCCTATACACTTAGTGGATAATTGTATATTGGTGAATGGGGCGGGGGATAATCTTCCCTTTTCTTTAAGAGTATTAGTGGTTTTGGAAGATTTATTCTCTACTGCAGCACCAGCTCTACTGGTGGAATCTTCTCCCTCTAGGAAAAGTGAGGTTAGGTCCATCCCTCTCAACATTCTGCAAGTCTCCAAAATCCTGGCTATGTTATCAGGCCTGGGACCCAAGGGGATCAGAGAGATTTTGCAATGGTTCCCCTACTGCGGTTAATATAATTTCCTGTTTTGTTTGTTTCCTATAGCTATTTTTAACTGATTATTTTTATGTGTTTGTTATTTTTTAATTAAGCGCTGTACATAGCCCAGAGTCACTTTCATGTGAGATGGACAGCTATACAAATGTGATAAATAAAATTCCTTTTTGTCTAACACAATATGTTCTAATTGGCAAGTTCCAGGTATATATACTTCAGCTTCCACAATTCTCAGTAATGTTCCTTCTGGCTGGGGAATTTTGGGAGCTGCTCCACATACCAGGAAGGCTTCATGACAAATTGGCTTCAGAGCTGCTGGTGTAGTTGGATATGAAAGACAGACTCTTAACAAAAATTCTGGAGAATGCTTCTTAAGTGTAAAGGGTCAAAACTCCTGAAAGTTTCTATGTATATGGAGATAAGGTGTTAAAATTGTTCAGAGCATTAAGAAATCAAAATTTTCAGAAAGTATTTTGAAAATCTAACTTCCCCCTCATTGAAAACAAGTTCATTCTTGTTTTCTGATCTTTTCTTTGGTTAACGTTGACCTGCTTCCCTCTCTTATTCACTTGTGTTACTTGTATCTAGTTTTATGATACAGTAACTTAAACTAATCTTTCTCTATATGGAGTTTTCCAACAAAACAGAAATCCCTACAAAGTTTATCAACCTTGTAGACAATTGAAGACAATTTAAAACAATTATGATTGTTTTTAGAAAATAGATTTTTTTCCCTTGTGTAGATCATAGTATAAATATTTTCAAGACCCAAACAGATCCATTGTTGCATTTTTATTAAGATTTGTTAGTGTAACCTTATCTTCCTCATCCACATTCCAAGTTAAACTTTGATTATTATACAGTCACTGAGTTAAAATACTTTGTTCTGCTAATAGGTCAGGCAGTGAATTCCTTGAGGAAGCAAATTACACATGCTGCAATCACATGTTTGACATTTTTAAATGGAGAAAGGCCTTAGTAGTAGATTTTAAGAACAGTGTTATTGGCACAGAAAAAAAGGCATAGATGATGCATTTATTTATTTATTCATTCATTCATTCAATTTATATGCTATCAAGTGTGACCTAATCTAATTGATATAATTTTGATCTGCATATGAATGAAGAGAGATATAGACTTCAAAGTGTGAAATGGAATACAGTTGCAGTGCCAGTACTAAGTTCCTGTTTCATCCTAAGGTGGAATTTGAGAGTGTCAAGCGTGCCTTAAGGTGCCATGAGGAAGAGCTCATGTTGGCTGGTTCCCAGCTACAAGAACTGGGTCGTCTTCGGGATTTGGCTGAACAGCAACTTCAGGAGGCCCTTGAGACTGTCCAGGCTGAGCGTGAGCAGAAGCAGGAACTGCGGCGGGAGCTAGCCGTCTATGTTGGGGGCCATCATGATTCTCTGAACAGCTTGCAGGCCAACCTGGAGGAGCTCAGCCACAGCCACACCACAGAGTGCGAGGAGCAAGACAGTGGTTTTGCCAACGGTAGCAACGTAGGGGGGGTGACATCCACACCTCACAGCTTCCAGCCTGCACCTGGTCTTGTTGCAGATCTCTTCAGTGAACTTAACTTGGCAGAGATTCACAAGCTACAGCAGCAACTCCAACAGGTTAGGAAATCAGAGCTTTGGTTAGGGTTGGGGAACAGGAATTTGGATTTGACAGAGTAATGGTTTGCAATACTGATTGCTTTCTTATTGAACAGAGAAGTGAGCAGATTTGTTTCAGTTGCCAAGGAGTTACTGATGACCAGCAGCGTTCATTCAGATATACCACTTCAAATGAATTAAAAACAAAGGTGAATGGTCAGTGTATGTGTAGAATAAACTGGGATAATATGGAGAAAATTCTAGCCAAACTGTTCCGAGACCTGGCAGAATGGATTTTTCATTTTGATATGATTCTCAAAACACCCTGATATCACAAAGCCCATCCCAATAAAATAAAACTCTCTTGCATGGAGTTTCTGGGAACATACATAACTGCTATCTGATTATGTGTCCTTTAATGAAGGGTTGAGATGTTGGGAAACACATTTTTCCTGCAGGACTATTGCTTCTGCAAATGAACTTTTTGGCTTTTGATCTCCATGGCTGCAGCCCTGAAGATTAACTCCAGTATCTGATAATATCACGTAGAATTATAGGTAATCCTCAACTTATGACCATTTTTTTCAAAGTTATGATAGTGCTGAATAAATGAACGTATTACTTGTGCCTGATATTATGGCCATTGCAGCACCCCATACAGTCACGTGATCAAAATTTAGGTGCTTGGCAGCCCATCTGCACTTACGACTACATCTCCCATCTATGCCCTTCTGGCTACCTTGCGCCTTGCCTTGAAAGGGTGGCAAGCAACTGCAGAACCCCACAGCATTGGGGCTGCTTGCCATGCCTTGTGAAGCCTCGGCTTCTGCAGCCCACACAAGCAGGCATTCATTCACCTAGAGCTGCCTTCTCTCCCAGTTCCCTACAACAGTCTTTCACCTTTTGTGACCAGCCACTGAAGCAGAAGCACCTTGCTGCCTTTGCTATTTCCATTTTGAATCTACAGTTGCCATGCTATCCTGGGTGCTCCTGCTTCTCTGTTGTGAACACTTCCCATACATGGCTCCTCAGCCGACCCTAGGAGTGCATCGCCAAGCCACGGTGTCCATAAAGCGTCAGCACCCAAGAAGCACCAGCAAGCATTTGTTTGCCCAACTGCCTTCTCTCCCAGTTCCCTGAACTGACTTTTTGCTTTTGCACCGAGCTGCCGAAGCAGAACCACTTGCTGCCTTTGTTCTCTTTTTTTTAGACCCAGCTTCTCCAGTCAACCTTTCTCTACATGTGACTCCCTGAGCCTTCAAAACACTCTGCTGTCTTTGGAAGGACAGCATTCCAAAGGCTATCCTATCTCAGGAAATGAATGAATGGTAGCTGGAGTGGGCTGGGGCAGACTAGGGCAGCTGGAGTTTCATGGAGCATGGCAAACAACCCCACAAGGCAGGATGCCTGGCAGCCAAAGAGCAGAGATGAGGGAGAGGGGGAGATAGGCAGGTGGAAGGAATTAGAGGCAGTCCCTTACCTTACTGAGGCTGGGTGGGGGAGGACCTAGCCTGGAATGCCTTGGATTGGGGTGGGTACTCACTTAATGACCCACAATTAGAAGTGCCTGGATTGCCATTGTAAGTTGGTGCAGTCATGTGACATTTTATGACCACACTGACTTACAACAGCAATCGTGCTTCCAACTGTGGTGTAAGTTGAGGACTACCTGTACTAGCAACGAATGCAGAAACTAATGTGCAATTAATGGGTTGCAATGAGACTAAAACAATAAGTCCTGTAATGTTAATTCTAACTCATCAACGCTTAACATGTCACTGGACTCCTGTGGGGAGATTATAGGTCAGAAGAGCCAATACAAGGCTGGAGACATTTAAAACGTTTTAATCAGGGATTTAAAGGTGAAAATTACTCTTTGGTACTACGAATTGGCACTCAGTGCAAGAAGTGATTCTGGTTGTGAGCTCTTCAGATGTTGGTAGTTACCTTTTCTTGGACTATGTGATGCCATTTTTCAGATTTAGGAGCATCCCTTTCAACTGTAGAACTCATTGCAGCTCCCTATGTTTCGTTCACGTTTGCCTGATTGGGCTGCTTGACTACCTTGTGCCAAAGTTTCTGCTTGTGAAACAGGTTCTTGAAAGATGGTTTTCCACTTCCTCCTCTGTTGAGTATGTTTCTCCCCACTTTCTTCCCATTTAATAGTATACCTAGTTTAGCAAAGAACACTGTGTCAGGGAGCTCATTTCCAGCTCACTATGAAAGCTAATCCTTGGTGGCATATCAAGGTCTAAAGCTCAGCGCTTTTCTGTCTGAGTTAAACACTGGCTCAGAGAAACCCAGAGGGAAATTTGGCAGGACTGTTGAGATGGGCCAGAGCCTAAAGATAGATAATAGATAAAGACTGAAGAAAACAGTGAAATCAAGGCAGAATTTGGTAGTCTATGTGTTCTAATTTATTTACCACATTTGTAAAAAAACATCCAACAAAGTAAACCTGAAGTTCAGAGCCTCTCCCTGTCCCTGTTACAACCTGCTGTGGGAATTGATAGCAATCTTATTTTAAGTATTGGGGCTTAGCTTTTGAAAGGGCCCAGTGATATTCCAAACAAAGAATCTTTCTGAGTGAACTTAATCTAATCTGGGATTCAGAATATGGATAGATTGCCTCTCCCTAATTCTCTGCAGTCATATATTGCATTAAAGCAAGATGTGGTTTGTTTTATACTATCTTAATGTGTTGCATGACACCAATTACGTTACTTGGTTAAACCATGGTTCATGGTTTGCTTTGATGAATTTAGGCAGTGTTTCTTAGTGAATAAATTATCTTTAGTACATAGTGTAATTATCTTTAATACATAGTGTAATATGTAAACCCAATTAACATCTTACCATAGGAAATTCTGTCCTATCTTGTCTTTGTTTCCTTAGGCAGAAAAAGAAAAAGCTTCACTAGCTTCAGATCTGCAAGATCTCAAGAAACAGCTGACCAGGACTAAGGAGATCTTGGCCCAACAGCAGTTGTGCAACAGCCGTCAAGTAGATCAGCTTCCAGCCCCAGAGGCTAAGCCCAGTGCTAATAATGGTGGGGATAGCCTGTCACCCAATAATAGGGAATGCTACCGTGAGGAGCTGGAAAGGGCCCAACTGGCAATCCGGCAAGAGAGAGAGGCAGCTGCCCACCTAGAAGCTGAGTTGAGAATTGCTAGACGGATTACCAGAGAGTATCAGTCACGGCTGGCTGAGACTCAGGAGGAGATCCTTATTTTTTCTGAAGATATGGCAACTCTCTACCATCACATCTGTGCCCTCCACAACATAACCCCACACCGTGTAGTATTGGACTATTACAGGGAGGGCCGTGGTGTCCAAAGTGTGCGCAGAAGGCAGTCCTCCAGAAAACATATGTTCACAGAAATAGAGACAACTAGCAGTGCAGACAGATCACCAGCCAGTAGCCCTGTCTCCCCATGTGGTTTGGAGCCTCTTTATGTCACTAATCTGACAGAGATCTTGAGAGAACAGCTGGGGCATCTGCAGGTAGCACTGTCCTTTGCCCATCAGCAGCGCCCAATGGGGCACAGAGCTGAACTGGAACGTGATAAAGAAGTTCTGGTAGAAGAGGTGCTGAAACTGAAGTCCATGTTGAGCACAAAGCGTGAACAGGTTGCTACACTGCGCACAGTGCTTAAGGCCAACAAGCAGGTAAGTGCAGGAAGTCCTAGTTGCAGTACAGATCTGCCGTGGGCTAAAAGAATGGAAAGTGGTCCTGAGAGTCATGTTTGGGAGCATCCACTCCCATGCTCTTTAACATCTATATGAAGCCACTGGGGGAAGCCATCTGACTAGACAAGTATGGCACTGAAGATACCCAGCTTTATATGGCAAATTTAGACTATAGGCCAGGGATTGGCAAACTTTTTCTGTACAGGGCAAAATCCCACTCCTTTTCCACCTCTGTAAGTATAGCTGGCAGTTCTGCAGACGAAAGACTGCTACCCATTGGACAGCCTTGATCTACCAAGGAGGCTGCTGGATCACATTGGCTGGGACCCACACCTCTTGCACTGGGAGCTCAGCTAAGGTTCAGGCCTGGTGATCTGTTATCCATCCATCCGTTCTTAGCTTGCAGGCCATATAAAAACAGGCAGCAGGTTGGATTTGGCTCATGAGCGGTAGTTTGTTGACCCTTGCTCTAGGTCAGGGCTTTTCAACCAGTGGTACGGGTACCACCTGTGGTACATTGGCACCTGGTAGGTGGTACGCGACCATCCAGAAAAGTGGTAGTGGGGGAGAGGAATGAGCTGAACCAGTGGCAGCACCGCACAAGCCTGAGCGAGAGATGCCTGAAGCTGCAGGGCTGTCAGGGCTCAGCGGAAGTGCCAGGATCAGCGTTTCTTTGGGACTGTCAGGGCTCAGTGGAAGCACCAGGATCAGCGCCAGGCTCCAGCTGGAGCTCGGCGCTGATCCTGGTGCTTCTGCTGAGCCCTGAAGAAGCACCAATCAACTGGAAAGCAGTACTGATCCTGGCGCTTCTGCTGAGCCCAGAAGAAGCGCCAATCAGCTGGAATATTGCAGCATCTCCAGGGTCTTGTGATTTACATTCAGATGCTTGGCAACTGATTCATATTTATGACAGTCACAGTATCCCAGCAACCACCCAGCAGACGGGGGGAATAAAAACCAAACACCCCCCACCCCATCCCTGCTGCCAATCCTCAACAGAAATGCTCACAACAATGAAAACCTCGGACAGGAGGAAGAGCACCACTGGGTGGGCAGGCAGGTGTCTTGCTCGGCTATGGCTTGGGGGGCACTTTTTTCAGTGCCATTGTAACTTCGAACAGTTCATCACTTTTTTTCTTTCTTTTTTTTTTGGTCATCAGGTTTTTGACACCTTGCTTAGGCGATTGGTGGTACTCGGATATTGCCATATCCTAAAAGTGGTACAATGAGTGAAAAGGTTGAAAAGCCCTGCTCTAGGTCATCCCTTCAACCCCCATCACTAAACATACAGGTAGTCCTCAGTTTATGACCATCTGTCTAATGACCACTCAAAGATATGACTGCATTGAAAAAAGTGATAATTGGTTCTCACACTTAACGACCGTCGCACCATCACCATGGTCACATGGTCAAAATTTGGGTGCTTGGCAACCTATACATATTAATAACAGTTCCAGGTCCCAGAATCATGTGATCACCATTTGCAATCTTCCCAAGAGCTTCCAACAAGCAAACTCAATGGGGGAAGCCAAATTTGCTTAATGGCTATGTGGATCTGCTTAACAACTGCAGCAAAAAAAGATCATAAAATTGACCACGATTCACTTAACTGCATTGTTTAGCAGAGAAAGTTCCGGGCTCAATTGTAGTCATAAGTCAAGGACTGCCTGTAATTCACCTATTGTGGAAAGAGCAAAACCATTATAAAAAATAGCTCCTAGAACCTCTGCAAGTAGTTTAGTAAGCTCCATGGTCTATGGAAGGGGTCCCCAACCCTTGGTCTGTGGACTGGTACCGGGCTGCAGCATGCCAGCAACCAGTCCGCACAAACAAGCAAAGCCCCATCCGTGGGATGCAGGCAGCACACAAAACTATGCACTCTCCAGTCTGGAAAAACCTTTCTCCACGGAACCGGCCCCTGGTGCCCAAAAGGTTGGGGACCTATTGAAAACTGCTGAGAGGTCCAGAAGGGCTGAGAGAAATGCACTACCGTCATCCAGTTCCAATACCAGGAGAGCAACCAATATTGTTTCAATCCTATTACCTGGGCTTGAATGATAATTGAAAAGGTTCCAGATAATTGGATGTTTCTTGGGTGCTAAATAACTGGTCCACTAAGCAACCTTCCCTTTTTGAAGGTTGTGCCCAAAAGTTATCTAAGATCATTCGATCCAAGACTGGCCTTTTCAGAAAAGGGTGCACCACGGCAATTTTCAAGACTGGGGGCAACTCCCTTTCCTGTAACAAGAAATTGACAGTCTCCTGGACCTAGGTAGTCGCATTTCTGCCTATTCCTATCAAAAACCAGGATCTGTGAGGATCCAAGATACAAGTGGCAATGTACTGTCTAGATAGTTCCCTTCCATTTTTCAAATTTTGAAGGCCAAAAATTATCCCAGATGATCTAGATCAGGGCATAATCAGACCATGGCAATAGGGTAGATGGGAATCAACTGTCCAGATTCCATGCCATCTGGTTAGAAACAGACATGAGGTTCAAGGTGTGACCATCTAATGTGTCAAGCCAGGGGGGATATGTTGTCATCTTGTGAATTCTTGTGTGTTGTGTTGCTCCAGTTTAATATTGTTCATTAGCCGTCTTCGAATTTTAATTATTTTTATATTGCTGGATGTTTTATATTTGTTTTTGTATTGTGATGATTTAGAAATTTAATAAATAAAAACAGAAAAACTAAATCCTTATCTTTCATTATATTATGACTTTAAAAAGGTTTTGATACAGACCTTCCCTGATATTCTATGAAACAAATTTAAACAAAAGAACAATGTAACTCCTCTGAAAGGCTAAATAAGGATCAAATGGAAGTCATCAGAAAACCAAAATGAAAGGAGTTAAATGGGTTTCTTCAGGAAATTAGTCACAATAAAGCTATGTCCATAGCTATAGCACATAGGGTGCTAGTTACGGTTCTGGGCCTTCAAACATTGATGCCATAATTTGTACTGAAGCATGTCAGTCTGTCCAGATCTTAAGAAAATGCATTCCTTCGCTCCCATGAGTTGTGCCAATATAATTTGGATGATAGTCGTGATAATTGTATCCTTCCTTTTTTGTTTGGAAGCTCTGCTGCATCTCCCAATATCTCCTCCTAACCTCCTGTGCTTGCTGAGCCCTTCTGTTACATTTTACTGATGTCATGATGTCATCCTGCTTTCAAATATAGTAGGTTGTGTCTGCAGTACAGACACGTCTTTTCCTGACTAACTTTAAAGTCAACAAAAGCCAGAATGAATGTTTCCAAGCGTATAACTATAGAAATGGGCAATTAATTGTTTTCTGGGAAAAGGTTTTATGCAGATGTGGTCCAATCTGTTAATGTAGCAGCGCAGTTGCCCCTCATGGAGTTATTAACAGACTGAGCTTCCCAGGAAAACTTCAGCAATGATACACCCATGGTTGGAGTGACATTTGCAGGGTGATCTAGAAGATTTGGGGAAGCATTCAGCTTCTAGATTTTCTATAAATGATGCAAATGAAGGATATTTGTGTATTGTGAATGTGTGCAACCTTTCTTTGCAGACAGCAGAGGCAGCCCTCTCAAATCTCAAAGGACAGTACGAAGGTGAAAAGGTGCTGGTGTCAGAGACCATGATCAAGTTGCGTCATGAGCTCAAGGCCCTGAAGGAGGATGCTGCTACTTTCTCTTCCCTACGTGCCATGTTTGCTAGCAGGTTAGAAGCAGGGTCTGCTTAGTGAGGCAGGAAATGAGCCTGTTTTGGAGTAAAGAGTCAAATAGGATTGGGTTAGTTCTTCTATCACTACCACTGTTCTGTAATCTAGTGTATATGTATATATATTATGTATGGGTGTAGGCGTGAATTGGTAGATACATACTTTCTTTTGAGAGCAGGCAACAGAATTTCATTTTTAATGTGGGTCAGTGTGCTCACAGTAAAAAATACTATCTTAGTGCAAGGACAGGGTGACGGAGCTACATGGAACAGCCAGTTGCCTTTGGTGGATTTCATTCTTCATTGACTATGAAAACTCAGCAAAATTTACCACTGAATTTTGATGGTTAACTGCTATGAAAGAACCTTTTGTTACTGAATACAACACAGGATTAGGAAAAAAAGTTGAGAAACAGAAATGTAGTAGTGTGTGTCCAAAACCAGTGATGAATTATATATAAAGTTAGTTACAGAAATATTTTGGAAATTTCATTTTTCTTAGGTTGCATCTTTTTATTTTTTCCAAATACTTTAATACTACAGTGAGAGTAGCATTTTAACCACCCATCTTCAGTATTAAGAATTATTTTTTAAAAGGGATGGAAGTAGTGACAAGTACTGTATGTTTGAATGGGACATTCTGCCAAAGATTTCAAGTTAATGGGGACTTGCCTAATTGGCTTCAGCAGAATATTTATTTATTTTGCCACATATTTATTTAACATCAATGTGCATTCCTTTTCTGCTCTAGTGTGTTTTACCCAAGTTTTTTCTGGCCATGCTTGGTATAGTATATCAAAAGCAAAATGGTGTAACAGAAAGAAACAAAAGTAGAGCAGTCATCAGACATGAAAACACTGTAAAACTTTTTATTCCACATAATCTGTTATGAGAAGTGGCCAACTTTCTAGCAGCCTTATCCTGAAAACTGTGTTCTATCTCTCTGGCTTCTGAAACTCAAACATAAAATTTCTAAATATTCCTTTATTCTACATCTTTTCTCCCCTGATATAAGACAATCTGAGATGTGTTTCAAATGAGATTCCATACTGTTTCTGGCACTTAAAGGGTCATTGGATATTACCCTTGCAAAGCAGCTTGTGGAATTGTTTTTCGACATATACCTGAACCTGTTGCCTCCATTTTCTGCCCCCAGGTGTGATCAGTACGTGAGCCAGCTAGATGAGATGCAACGGCAACTGGAAGCTGCAGAGGATGAAAAGAAGACTCTAAACTCCTTGTTGCGCATGGCGATCCAGCAGAAGCTGGCACTCACACATCGACTGGAGGCTCTTGAAAACCCAGTGGAAGAGTTGAGGGGCAATAGGAGGGTACTCAGAGCAACCAAGGGTAGTGCGGTAAGAATAAAAGGAACCACTGAGAGATGATGGAGGAATAAAAATCACCCAGTTCTTAAATTTGCTATAGATGTAACACACTGTTCACCTAGCTGTAATGGAGATGTTCCACAGAGCTACATACTTATCTCTCTTTTTGTTCTTGAATAAGGTATGTAGGTCTGTGGAACTCCTTTCTTTGGCACCAGCTGTAGGCAATGTTTGGGTAGAGCTGAACTGAGCCTGCATTGTGTTCATACCAAATCCCGATTTGCAAATCTGCTTCTAAGCACAGTTTCTGTTCTTTACTTAAATGCATAAATATCAATGACTTAAATGCATAAACGTCATTGGACTGTAGTGATCTCGTTATTTTGCAGAAATAGGAGCTGTGGGCAAATAATAAAAATTATGACCCTGGGACGAGCAGTTGCAAATTTTGATTATAGATGAAGCCACTCACAAACTCTAGTCTGCATGCTGGAGCATTTCTGAATTGCCACTTATTTTTTAGCAAAATATTTCTCACAAGCCAAAGATGATGATTTCAAGAAATAAAAGGCACACAGTTGGGATTTATAAGAATCTGGGGCAGTCAAATAGTAATAAGCATAAGTGTACCATATCTACAGTGACCATATTTTCTTAGAACAATCCTGAAAAAGAGTAAAATCTGAGAGATTCATAATGATTAAAAAATTAATTATGTTTATTTTTTAAAAAGGCAGCAAAATTATATTTTTTAGTTTACAAATGCAAAGATTAAAAACTAATGCAAAGAAAAATATAAAAAAGAAAAATTAATTGCACAAAAAGGAAAAGAAAAAAGATATATAGTAAAGGAAAAAGATGTAAAGAAATCAACAATCTTGATTTTTTATTCCTTTAAATAATATCCCAGCATTTGATTTATTTTCATTTTCTCTTTGTCTCTTCTCAAAAACTCCTTCAAAACTTCAAAAGATCTCATTTGTTAAATCCAAAATAAACAGTCATCAAGTCACCCTTTCAGTTTGTTATTTGTATATCCCTTTTAATTAATAAGATATTTGTTGGTTTCATTTGTAAATCCAGTATAAGATCTTGTTCCATGTCATTCTGATAGCCTGTTATTTTTATATCCACATTTGAATCAGCTTCAGTCTCAGTTTTGTCCAGTGAGATTTATTCCTCTCCTATGGTCTCTTTTAAGTTTCATTTTTAAAGTAGCAGACAATCTTGAGAGAAACATCTGTATGCGTTGTTCCCACAGAATATTTGAAGTCTTTCCCAGTTGTATTTTGTTCCATTCTATATTAATGTGTCTCTTATTCTTTAATTCTAATGTTCTTTCTGGTTCCCTCTAAAGTCCAACTTTCAAAATTCCTCTTTTTTCTCTCTAATCACATTTTCCCACAGGAAGGTTTCTTATAATTAATTAAAAGTTTTATTGTTTATTATTTATTGAATTTATATGCCAGCTATCACCTCAATAAGGCGACTCCAGACGGCTTACAGATTTTTTAAAAAAACAGAAGGGTAATTAAAATAAAACTATGCAAATTAAAAATTTAAAACTATACAATATTCTTTATAAAATTCAAAACAACCCACAAATAGGGCAGCATTCTGAAATAATAGGATTGTCCTTTATAATAAAGGCTGTATGGTCACTGTAACCATAAGCAAAGGTCAGTAAAACTGCTAAATCAGAAGCAAATGCTGCTATCATACATTCAGAACAAGTCTCATTCATTACTGAATGAAGTTCCCAGGCACTTGATTTATCAGTGGGCCTCTTGGAGGATGAACATGTAATCTAATTAAGATTTTAGGTGATACCTGTAATTTCACAATATAACAATTTCACTATCAGCACATTTTTTCTGTTATCACTAGGATGTTGATTAGCTGAGCAATTCTTATGTCATAGAATTCATGACAATATACACAAGAGCCAAATTTGTATTGGTATCACAGGTTGGAATGGAATGTTACAGATAAAAAGGTTTTTTAAAGCCAAAAATTGCTATCTGTAACTACATGTTTTAAGAATTGGTAACATAGCCTTAAGCAAACCTCCACATCTAACCTCCTTAATATGGGGTAATAATGTTGGCCAATTAATACTTTCTATTCCAAGTGTTAAATAAATGTCAAGCAATATGGTAATTAAATCCATGCCATAATCAGCATAACGTTATAGAAAATTGATGAGATTATATGGATCTTTCTGATCATTTTTTCTTCTCCCCAATTTCTTTCCTCCTCCTCCTTTCAGAGATGAGATTAACTGGATTCGGTACAGGATTTCTTGGTTATTCAGGATGCTCTGTGACTACAGGACTCCAATTCTCTTGAGTAACCAAAAACACTGGGTACCTGCAAATTGCAGCTACTCAAGAAGGAAACTGGATAAGGAGAGAGCCTCTAGCCAGAACATGCTTCTTTATTATTATTATTATTATGCCTCCGCCTCCCTGCCTTAAGAATTCCCAAAGATATACTTTCTCTCTAAATATTTTTCTGGAACTGTTTTGTAAACTACCTGTAATATCTTTTTAAAGCTCTCTTCCAATAACAGTTATGTTAACCTTGAATAAGGCTACACACAGTGTTAACTGACTGAAAGAAATTATGCAGGGATTAGCTTTTTCACTACCCCATATTTTCATTTTTTTCCTCATTGACTCAACATTTATTCTGCTTATCTGTTTGCCACAAGTTTTACAGGTAGCTTGAAACAGGTGCACAACTGATGGATCAATGCATATGTAACAATGAGATGTATTGTCAGATAAAGATATACCTGGAAGCAATTTTGCAGCTTGGAGCTAGGCAAGCGCCTGGTTTCTCTTAAATGGTTTATAATCTCTTTTTAACTACAATCCAGGAAATAAAACTGTAGTTTAAAACTTTGCAAAACATAAGGAATATCAAAACACTTTGTAGTTCTAAATAGACATATTATTTAACATGCCAAAAAAGATTATCCTTTACAGTTGCCCTATAATTCTATCCCAAGATAGTCTGAAATCTTTTGCAGAATCATATCACATGATCTTTGACATTTTTGTTTCTTTTCATCATTTGTTAATTCTATTCTTGATACATTTGCATTGTTCCAAAAACACCTGCCCATCTATGATAGTTTCATAATATGTTTTCTCTTTCTCCCATTTTTTACTGACATAATATACTTAAAGGGGAAGTGTCTTACTGAAATGAATGGGGGTCTATATTTGCTGAAATATTTTCTCTTAGTTTTTTCGGATCATAATGAACCAGAAATAGTCATTTCTTTTTTGCAATATCTGAATATCAGAAAATTTCTTAATAATATGGTCAATCTCTAGTTTCTTGGGCGGTTTTCTCTGTGCTAGGAAGTAGATGCATATAATTATCCCTTCCTCCTTTGGCCTGGATGCAAGTGGTTTTGAAAGCTATTTCAAGGATATTGTGCCAGGCACTGGGAGAAAGGCAGAGAAAGATATTTTGGGCTTTGTTTAATTATAATATTGCCAGACAGAACAGTATTGTGAAGACTGTATGGTTGGCTGGTGCCCCCTTCTGGTGAAAATTGGGTAGCATAATATACTTATTTAAAGATCCCTTCTTGACTACATACTTGATAACAAACATTGGTTTTATTGTTAAGTAATATTGTGTGAAAATCTCCTTCCCCTCTTAATTGAATGACATCTGTGGGAATTTGATAAAAGGAAGGGGTTAAGAAATAAGAAAAAAAATTATCACACCTTTGAATTAAAAAAACACAAATGTTAATATATAACGGTTCTTTTGGGTTTCTCAATAGAAAGAAAGTCCCTGTAGAATAGTATGCCCTCATCAATATGCAATAATAAAAAATATGTATTTTTAAAACTTAAGATGTAAATATTAATTTGCATTATCTATGTTTCAGTTACTGTAAAGAAGACCTTTCATTGTCCCCTGTATCATTCAAAACATTGTCAGCAGGCAGGGAAAAGTTATGCTTGATTCAGAGAGACAGAAAGCCATGGCTACTTGTGTCAAATACTGTTTAATGCAGAAATTTTCAAACTGGTTCATGATATCCTGGGAATTTTTGAGCAAATCTGGGAGGGGTTTGCCAAGTTTTTTCACCATGCACAGGAAAAGCTGGAGCCTATACTCCTTCTCTGTCTAGGTAAGCTGGTTTATCCATTCGTTATCAGGCTGATTGCTTCGTTGCCATAGTGGGGCGGGTCCTGCACATCTAAGATCTTGAGCCTACCATACCCAGTACTAAAGGCCACACATGTTATTTATTTAAATTTATTGACTGCCCAATTCCACTAGACTCTGGGCTGCACACAAAGCTAGAAAAGACATAAAAACAGTTAAAGATATTAAATTACATTTAGAGGGTGATCATGACAGTAGATATAGAAAGGAGCTGAGCAGGGGTATTTTTGACTCTATTCTATGTTGATGCCCAAAAGGGGAGTGCTATGAATCAAGGTAGTTCGGGGTACTCAGCTGCTGATGTGCTGGTAGGGGAAAGAAAGAATACCACACGAAGAAAATAAGGTGGCACTAGGCAGGACAGACAAATACAATTGGCTTGCTCAAATAAAACCAGACCATGTTCTGACAGGACTCCAGCTTTGCATTTGAAGAACTAATAGTTTGTATAAAGAATTGGCCAGCGCAAACCCCCCAAAACTTTACCTGCGTTAGTTGTTGATATGTTTTTCTTCCTCATTCATCATATATAGTATTTTTATTCTGGGGAGTCATGATACCACAAAGTTCAAAAACCTCTGGCTTAGTAGTCATTAATTACCAGTACCAGCTGTGGAAAGTTTTAACACTATCCATGAAGTCCTAGCTAGTTTTAGTGAGACCTATACACAAAGTTAGGGGAGGTAGGAGATAATCCTTTACTTCACTGGGACAATGTGACAAATTGTCAGACTGAACTCTGCCTTGGACTTGATCATTTTTCCCTAAAAAATAGCATTAATAAGAATCTGGGACCATTTGTATTAACAATTTATGAACCATGTATATGTATTATCTACTTCCAACTAAAATGATTTATTCCTAAACTATAGTAGCTTTTCCTGAGCTATCCACACACAAACAAGGGAGGTATGTAGACAACCGTGTGGATCTACACCCTTCCTCCATAAAGGGAAACTAATAATACTGTAGCTTAATGAGTAAGTATATATGTTCTTGCCAATGCTTGCCAATAGCAAGAAGCTAGTCTCTGTCATTAAGAGTGGCAATGTCATATCCTTTGCACTGGCAAAAGTAAGCCAGAGAAAGTAAGTAGCCACATGTAGAGCAATATGGCACAAATGAAGGACTGTATAATGGAGCTGTGTGATGCTTCCAAAAAAGGTGTATTGGAGTATACAGCGATACAAAAGTAGCACTTCCTACCTTTAATGTTTATATCACATAAAAGAACATGTAGAATAGATAGAACTGAGTGAAGATACTTTGCTGAGGTGGTGTCCCTTCCAAAGTCAAGGTGCAGAATATATGCATTAACTACAATAACTGAAAATGGGAAATTCCA